CAAAAAACCGTAGCAGAGAATTCTGTTTGTTTTGAGGAGTATCTAAATTACTATCTCGATCTCATGCTCAGTGAAGAATGATTTGAGTTTTCTATTTTCTCATTTTCTCTAAATGTTTTAAGAATCTATTTCTGCCCTGTGCAAATCCTGAGTCAGCTTGACTTCTCCCATTCCTCTTTTTTCCTACACTTATGTGATGGTTTCACTCAGGCCTTCCTGGAGACCAGCTTGTAACCAGGAAGGAACTAGGAAGGTGATCACGGAAGTATTTCATGCTGTTCCTTTATGTAACTTGAGGTATAAAAAAGTCAACAGGAGGGACCTCACTCTCTTCCTTTGCGGCGAGGTTCGAGAACGGTGGGTCCCTGTCTCGGTCTGGCTTATCTGGAGCTGAGGCCTACAGTGACTGCTGTTATCTGCCACGCGTGAGGGGAGAGCGCTGGGCCGTGTCGAGCCATCCTGCCTGTTCAAAGGGAAGTGGTGAGATTTTGGTAATTTACCTTCAGTTGGTTGGTTGACTTGTTTGGTCTTTTCCCTTTTTGTCCTTTTCCCTTCTCCCTCTCCTCTTCCCTTTTGGGGAGCTGTTTGGGATTTCTGGAGTTGTGGTGTATAGTATTCTCATTGTATATATCTGTCTCATATGAAAAATATATATATATTTTTTGCTATAGCTTTGGCTGCTTAAGTCAGTTTTTTTTCTTCCCTCTCTGGGAAGCAGGTCCTTGTTGTCGAGTTTCAGGGACTTGGCGGGAAGCCAGCTCGAAACTTGTACAACTTATCAGATTGTTTTGCTGATTGGTGTTTTTACCCTTATTTTCTCATATATTTCACCAGTTTGTTTTAACATACTTCAAATGCACATTTATCTATTTTCATTTCTTCTCATCCTAATCTGTTTTCTCTTCCTTGACAAATAATATGCAAAATTTAGCTCTAAAATGCACCACAGAATAATTGCACTGATGACAATTTTAGCTGATAACACAATGTAAGCACTCTTTTCCATGCCTGACAATGAGAATCACTATTAACCACTTACACTGTGAAGGCAGATTCTGTAGTCATCTACAGAGACCCCTATTTTGTGTGGAGAAAGAGGTTGCCTAAGACAAAATTATTTTTTTGTATTTCTGCAATAAATGTAGCTCAGTGCTTCCTGTGCAGACCTCAAAGATTTCCTCAATACAGTTCTTGCCATGTAGGCAGACTCTTTGTCTCCCATCTTCTTTGCAGATTCAGCTATTGCTACATCACTCTCTTTTATACTTGAGTTTATCATTTCCTAGAGGGTGCTCCTGGGACATAGCATTTTAGTCAAGTTTGTATTATACATCTGTAAACCAATCTCCAATAGTCCAAGGAAAGTTCCAGGCTTTTTGTGCACTTTAAAATGTTTCTTAACCTTCCCCCCGCTTAAGTTGCTAAACAGCAAGAAAACTCAAGACTAGAGTCTGCCATCTTTTTTTATGTAAATGAAGAATTTTGTGGATAAGTCATATTCAGTAATGTCTTAGGATCATTGGAGGGCTAATTCCATTCTTTACACTCAGGCTGGTCAGTACAACCTTCATAGATATTACTTTTACTTCTCACAAGCTTCTTCTTCAAAGTGGGTATTAATAGGGGTTTTAGCCTGTAAGACATAGTCCAGATAATGAAGAAGTGTGCTAATTATGATGGAAGTCCAGCCACTGTGCTAAGGGTAATGTGGTGGGATTTGCTGGTTACTCTGCCTTAAGGAACAATTTAGATGCCTTTTAATTTTTAATACTACTTTCAAATCCCCTTCAAAGTTGTTTCTAATAATCTGGAAACTTTTAACTGCAAAGTGCATGCTTCACCCATTGGTAGTAGACTACAGATACACGTCTCCAAGTGCTAGTTGTTGTGAACAGGGTTAGAAACTTACACCAGGCTCAGTGCCTTCATTCATCCCTATAAGCTTGTGAATGACAAGCAGTATATCCTCAGTTAGTGGTAGCAGCTGAGAACCATAATTTCTATGAAGTGTAAAACCAATATTAATGTTCAGAGACCAAACAACCCCAGGTTCCTGCCAACCTTTGGAACCATCAAATGCAATTCAGAGTTACTCTTGCTGAGGAATACATTTAGTGCAGGTAGCTCTGTTTTGCATATCAGTGAAGTCTTTGGTCTCACTGTTTCTCTTTGAAACACACAATTCTACAGCTTAATGAGCCTTTCTAAAGCTTAATGAGAGTGCGAAGGTAATTTATCCATCTCCTTTTATATGTATGCAACCTCTAAACAACAGACTGGCTCACACTCCCCAAAAAAGTAATTTGTCAGGGAGAGAAAATTTTTGATTGCGAAATCATTCACAAAAGTCTATGATTATATGAGACAATTGATCCAGAAGCCACTGCCTGGAGGCCAGGAACTACTCTGCTTCAAAGAGCTGTCCTTATAAGATAGGTGGAGTGGGGATGCTCATGGCAAGAGAATTAGCTTGATGAATCAGGGATAACCCTGCCTTTCTGGAGTCAGACAGCACCCTGAGTCCAACAAGAGTGAAGGGCCTTACACTTCCTTTGCTGATTGTTAAACAATTTCTCTTCTGTTTTGTTTGGTAAGTAAAACACTAGCACTGTCTTGACTTCTGCTCCCAGCCAGTATCTCTGACTCTCTGCATGTAGCTGTGTACATGCCTGACTTGTGTACCCATTATTCATAGAATCATAAACTCATAGAATGGTTAGGGTTGGAAGGGACCATGAAGATCATCTACTTCCAACTCCCTGCAATCTGCAGGTTGTTTTTTTGAAACAGATGTTTCAAATGACAGAAGAGTTAAAAAAGCAGCATTTCTGCTTTGAGCTCCATACCCAGTTGAGTATGCCTGGATATCAATCAGGCCTCGAGCCTGGAACAGTGCCTGAATCTAATCCTGGAGGACAGCAGCCATTTGACAAGTTCAATGACTAAATCCTTTGCCATTGTGGTCACTTGAGAGAGCAAAATAACCATACTTCAAAACCTTGTATTAGCTTGTAAGGTTACAAAAAGGCCATCCTTTAGTCCTGTGAGATCCTGCTTCATTGTATAAATAAAGAAAATTTCTTCTCCCCTTCATTATAAGCCATGATACTGAACTACAGCATTTAAAAATAAAGAGAGTGTTCAAAAGGGAAAAAAACAGTTCCTCTAGGTTTCTCTGCTCTAATACTGAGCAGCAGCTTCAGAGGAACAAATAACCAAATAAGTCATTTGGAAACACTTTGGTTTGTAAGCACGTATGAAGGAAGTGAAGTGTTAGGAAAACCAAGAATAAACCTGAGTGCTGTATTTTTCAGGGAAATCTGAGCCTCTCAAATTCTCTTGTGCTTATGGTTTGAGAGGGGCATGTCCAAGTCTTCTATCAATCACCCATGAGTGGAAATGTAACAGCAAGTAAAATGAAAAATCCTTCTGGATAATTGATATAGAATATGTGGGCGATCTGAAGGGAAAATTAGAACCAGAGATGTGCCATGGAAAAAAAAAGAAAGAAGATAATATTTAAAATGCCAGCCTCCTGTGAGCCCGTCTGCTTCCTATCCACTTATTTTGCAGCTCTCTGTTCCCACGGTGGATTACTGCTGCCACCTACTGCCATCTGCACTGCCAGGGGCTGAGCTCCTCTCCTGTGACATGGTCATGGGAAAGAGGGCCAGGGAGGATGCAGAACATGAAAGATTTTGAGTCTATAAAGGATAAAAGGAAAAACAGTTTCCAAGAAGAGAAAGTATCACAGCCAGGATTAAAACCTCAAGTACAGCTTTGTCCATTAACAATATAATGCCAAAATTGTCCGTGTTCTGAGGAGGGAAACCGAAATAAAAAATCTTTTGCTTCTGAAAGGGATGGGAAAGCCACATCTGGATGCACACATCTGTCATGTAGTGACCTAAACCTATTCTCAAGGTCCTAAAGGTTATTAGTTTAAGTGACATGGCTGACAGCCTATGTTCAGCTTCATTAGATGATTAAATAACTTGCACAGCAAGAAAGCTAACAAAGCACCAAGAACCAGTGGGTAAGTCCAAGTTTCCCGATTCAATACCCTGTGTTACTCTGTTTTAGGAACACAGAGTAACACAGAGTAACCAGGCTTCAGATGCTGGTGATAGAAACCCTATATCTGACCTCAGCTTAAAATTCACATCAACAAAGAGTCAGAGAACAGACAAGCCTCCAATTATTGCAGGTATTTTTAAATGAAATCTGGAAGGAAATCATACTTTTGTACTGTATATTGAAAGACAGGTTATGGAAAGAACAGGAAAAAATTTCAGCAGTGGAACTATATCGTATCTGCTACTATTCAGCAAGAGATATGCTGCATTTCATAACCTCTGAATTCACACTACTCCATTCCAGGTGGCAGCAAATATCAGACCCGGACCTTCCTGATCTCAGATCATATTTCTTCTCTATTAGTGTTATATAGCAGTCATCATTAGCAATATCAATATACCCAACAGTTGCAGAGCACTGAGAAGCAAAATAAATTAGCTTTTTCCCTTCTCTGTGCAGCTCTTTTTACACTGTTCTCAGTGCCTAAGTTAGCTGAGCTTAGTAGTCTCTAACTTGACTTTATTATATAACCTGAAATGCACAGTGGAATAATTTTATGTTGATTTAGCTAAGCACAGTGATAAAGTCAGGGTTTTAACCTTTATACCATTTATCTTTGATAGCTACATTACACCATGTGGGCCCTTTCTACATGGATTAAAAAGCAAGCCAGTCTGTATGGCTAACATACATTTCTGGCACTATGACTCCATACGAATGTCATATCTAAGCATGTCATCAACTTTATTCTACACAAAAATCTATGATATAAAGAAATATTAAAAGATAAGTAATAATAGCAACAATGTTGTGCCCCAGCAGTGTGATTGAAGTCAAACCACTGTCTACATTGACTCAGCATTGAAGTATTCCCAGGAATACACTCTCTCTTCCCTCATCTTCTCCAGGAGCTGATCTACCAAAACATGCCTGAGAAGAAGGGCCTTTGTAGACCTGCCTTGCTCTACACCTCAAGAGCCAGATTCTCCATAGATCCAACTTTATAATGAAATAGGAACTAAAATTTTACAGAAGCTTGCTGGGCAAGACAGAAGACAACACACTGGAAAGCCCTGGGGTTTGTGGTGGTATTTTTCTTATAAATTCTTCTTCAGGACAGAAGTGTTACCTTCCAGATCAGTTGCCTGAATATTTTCATTCTTAGTATGGAAGCTGACGTGGGTAGATGGCTGATGGCCTTCTTAGAGATACTGCCATAGGCCGTTCAAATAGCAACAACTAATTTGACTGATTACCTGAAGCCCAGAGTAGTTTTTTCAGTGGTGTTTTTTTTTTCTTTCTAGAGTTTTTGTTTCTTGCTCAGGCTCTGCTTCTCTCTAGGTTCCTGATTCAATGTCTCTCTCCCTTATTTCACAGGGAGTCAGAAGTCCCCTCCATCCAAATCTTCTGGAGGAATACAGATCATTACATCTATTTTGCTCAGTGCTTTACAGTGTTTCAGGGAGATGTATCAGAAAACGTTTTTTTCCAACAGTTCACATGGGCAAGGAGATTGACGTTTTATCCTGCCCAACAACAGTGAGTTTTGGCCTTTGCCTGGAATAAAGCCTAACTCAAAAGAGAAGAATTCCTAACCCAGTGCTCGTCCCATCACAGAGCTGACAGAACTGGGGAGAAGGGTGTCTGGCACTGCAGTCCTCTGGCAATTTATCTCTTGGTCACACTTCTGAACCACACAGACACTGAAGCCAGAGCCAATACCTCCTTGCAGAACGCAGGATAAATCCAGTGTAAGAGAGATGTTGTCCCAAAAGCTGTGCAAGTTAAATTGTTACTATGGGCAAAGTATTATCATCCCTGTTTACAGGTAAGAAAGGAACACAATTTGGTCCTCTGCCTTTCCTTAATGATACTTTATCTGTATGACAAAAACCACACATGTACAATTCCAGACGCTCAATAATGAACAAAAATATTATGTGGCAATGAGACAATAAACAAAGATGAATAATCTATCCAATTAAAGTTGCCAGTAGAAGTAGGCAGCTACTATAAATTATCCCAAATCATAATGATGCGTATTCACTGTGTATATCTGTACAATATACATTACAGAGAGACTTTTGGAAATTTCACTGAATGTTCTCCATCACCATGGAAGTATCTATGTAGTATTCATTTTCTGCACAGTTTCAGTTTTTGCCTTTGCTTGCACCTGAAAGCTGAAATGAGTACTCACTCCTGCACAGGAAAAAAAAAAAAAAAAAGAGAGAAATAGTAAAACAGTTTTTTTTTTCCTTTTAGAATCTGGCAGATACAACTGTAGGGAAAAAAATGCGATTTGTGCTTACATGATGCACACTGTTACCTCATGCACAATCACTAGACCATCACACCTGTCATGAGAAATGAAGCAAATCAAGGGCCAGTAAAGACTGAACTTTAAGAGCAAATCAGCAGACAGGGCATCTTGCAGGTGTTTTTGGAACCATGAACCACAGGAAAATTCAGGGAGATCAAAACTCCTTGGTTTTCCTCTTCAAGCCATGGTGAAAAAAAAAACATGGACTATAATCAAAGCATTCAGGGCATCAGCAGAGTCAGTTTTTTCAAAAGGGATTTTTTCTGCTATTTTATTTATCAGCTTATGTTATCTTGTCACTGCATTTACATAAAGCTGGATACGCTTATAAAAGAACGTGTGAAAAAGTGGTAGACTAATGTGGACAGCACAAGTATACTTCTGCCTCTCCCCTTGTATTCAGTTTTGACTTTTTCAAAGCCATTTCTAATATGGTTTGGCTTCAGGAATAAGAAATTTATGAATTCATAAATTTGATAAAGGTCACACTCTTCCAGGTTACAAGTGGTTTGATTTTAAGGTGCACTCTGCTGCTATATTCTGATCACTTACAATGTTTCACAATTATGTCTTTCTTAAAAGTAAAGGACTATCCCAAATATATTAATTCTTACCTACTGCCAGTCTTTCTGTTGCTCTTCTACTATATGACGGGCTGTTCATCTTATCTCATGCTATTGCTTAGAACTGCTGTGTTCAGTGAAGCTCCTGTTGTGTTTCTCTCCAGAAATGGATGTAATTCATTGACGACTACAAGGATCCTTTTACACATACTATAAATCAATGTTGCTGCCTTTCAAACAGTCAATAAAGACTGCCAAAACTTTGAATGCTGACAGTGAAAGGTTCACAGTATATTCAAACAAATGTCAAAAATAGACACAAAAATGAAATAGCCCACTTCCACCCGAAAAACTCTGTGGCTTCCTCAGAGCTGCAAATGTCCATTAGTCCTGTGTGATGACTTTACTCTGCTGCAGAAGTAATGGGGCCATAGCCTACTTTCTTCTCAGCACCTATCTGAATTTCATTTTATTCTAAATATCATTCCAGAGTTTTCTGATTTTGAGAGGTATTTAAAGCCTTGCTCTTAAAGTTTCCTATATATAAAAATCACTTATAATTTGTCAGTCAAATGTTGCCTCTAATCTGCCTCAGGTATGAGAGGAGATTAGGGAATGGAAAGAATAGAAGTGCATTGCAAGAGGCTGTTCATCAAGTGTGCATCTTAAAGAACAAGTTTAGGTCTTTTAAAGGTCCAACTGTTCACCTTGTTCTCAGGACTCCCAGCTAGTGAGATGCACTCTAGACAGAACAACTGCCTCCATAGGGTAAGATGCATAAAAACTCAAAACCTTTAAAATTTATTCCCTAGTTCTAACCTAATTATGGATTCAAAGGAAAAAATACCCATTGTTTCAACTATGAGGAATATTTCCAGGAGTATTCTCAGACTTCTTTTGAGACTTCTGGATCTGTTACTGAACAAATTCTATTCATTCTGGGTGGTGGATTGGTGCACAAATACTTGCACTCCAAAAAATAATCCACTATTCCATGAGCTAAAAGAGGACTCTCACAGGTTCTCAAGCATGGATCTGCTTAGGGGTACAACAGCTTCTGGTTCATTGATTCTAACTGGACTCTCACTGGTAGAGATAAACACATACCAGGAGTTTGCAGGTTCAGATCTTCATCAATCATCTTTATTTTCTCTTGGCAATTAACACGTCTCACATATACTGTCACATTAGGTTAAAAAGCAGGTCACAGTTCTAAAGTTAAAAATAAAACAGTCAACATCTAAATCCCAACCACGAAAAATGACAGTAACCTCTTTTTTGGCACAGCTTTCCCTCACCTTCAGGTACCTTCCAAGAGTTGGATGCAACTGAGTAACACTTTCTCTAGGGCATGTTTACTAAGGTATTTGGCTATGAAGCCATGCAGCAGACATCAGGAGATTCTCTTATTGACCACCACTCCAGACAGTAAAAATTCTGATAAGACTACACCACCTTAACACAGTTGTCCAATTTCACTTGTATTTGATGCAACCATTCTCAAATACAGTGCTAATTTGTAGTGAGTGTTAGACTTTAAAGAAAGTTTTGAATGCTGAGGAAATTCCACTGTCTCACCCTATTTAGACTGGTTAAGCAATCTTACTCATTAGATTTGGTCCACAATTACTGCAATGTAATGAGGACCAGAATGTATTGCCTTGCTATAAAGGCTGTAAATTCATCTTTTTGTGCTTAGGTAAATTATAATAGATGATGTATCTAATTTTCCAACATATCATCCCTCACACAAAACAGCCAAAAAAAATGGAAATTGGATGTGACAACATAAATAATATTATATCCTCACTTGTCAATTTCTTCCTGCTGTCAAATCAATAAAACTGTTTAAATTACTTTGAAAACAGTGGCATTTTCATGTTGAAGCCTTACAGTTGTCTGCTGAGTATATGAAGCTGTATGTTTATTTTGGGGAGATGGGGAAATATTGTTAATGTTAATACAAGGAAAGGAGAAAGGGTACTTAGTGTGCCATATTGTGCAGTGGAGTCCAAAGTCTCTCTTCCAATAAAATCAATAAAGACTTCAGTTCTGACCACTGTTATGTCTATCACATTTACTAACTTCAACACCAGTAATACAATACAATGTACTTGAGCAACAGGTGGGGAAGTAGAAGGGGACAGCTCCTGACAGCTCAGAATGAAATCCAGACATCTTTCTCATAAACAAAATACCCACTACAGTAAAAGTAAGGTCTGAGTAAACCTCAGATCCTTCTTTGTTCAGCCATCTCTGAAAACTCTCAAAAAAGTAGATCATAAGCCTTGTGATTTATCCTTAAACTGCCCATTCTTTAAATGTAGTATTTAAATGTCTATGGCACACTAATACATAATGATGGGAGAAACTCTCATTTCTGTCCAAGTCTTGTGTTACAGCTTTTGTAGTTGGATGTGACCTTCATGAAGCTGAGTGGCTGAAAAAAAAATTAAAACCAGTTTTATCACAAACCTTTCCAAAATATTTTCCTATTCTCTAAAGCACATCACTGCTCTCCCTCAGACCTTTCTAATGGCAGCAGGAAAAAAGCCACATTGTGCATGAAGTGTTTTAAATTAGCTTGTAGTATGATGGCTTCTAGCATAGAAAACACAAGTTAAATATACTATTCACAATCACACCCTGAGTCTATGCATTGAAAAATAGGAAAGGAGAAAAGGAACATGGTCTGACAGCATCAAATCCCTGACCTTTCCTCATTTTTCTAGAAAAAAGAGCAGTTTGAGTGGTAAAGACCAATTGAACCTCATTGGCTTCAGCAGTCATTGGGTGGTGGGGATCAACCTGGTGTTCTAAAGAACATGCAAGACAGACACCTTTCTGCAGTACATCTATCACTTATTTTAGGGTGGCACCATTCAGTGCTAATTCAACCATTTTCATTTAATTTAAAATTATTTTCCTTCCATGTTACAGTATATAATATAAAGCTGATAGTTTTAATATTTTTCTTCTTCCACAATACAGTTTCTAATTAGACAACTGCAATTATATATGTAGATGTAAAAAGTTAAGTACACATTATGAAAAATCATCATTTATCACAGTGAAGTATATGGCTTTACAGCAAGATCATCTCTACAGGGCACAGAAGGATACCAAAGAGGTACAGGAGAGAAATCTCACATAAACAACTTATTCACAGAATGAAAACATGATGGATTTTTTAAAGTGCCTGGCAGAAAAACGTGAAAATTATCAAACCCTTATCCAGCTACTTGAGAGTCCTGTTTCTGTCACTGACTCTCACCAGTCACTCCAAACAAAGTTTGCACACACAAGACATTTGCCTCAAACCTAAAGGTCCTGGTGAAAGGCTGAAATCTAAAATTATCTCAGGCTCTCAGAAGGCTTGCAGAGCATGTCACAGCAGGACAGCAACAGAACGTGCAGTACTGAGTACTTTACTCATCCCCCTGCACCTCAGCCTTCATTACAAACTACGAGTTTTTGGTTTAGACATACAGGAAAATGTTTCAAGAACCTTCCACAAAAAAAAAAAACAAAAAAAAAAAACAACAACAAACCAAAAAACAGTGAGACTGATGGTACCTGTGAAAATTTCTAATTATTTTATTCCTAAGATGAATATTCTATTCTCATATGTTGAGAAACTATTGTCTTCAGCGATGACCTGCCACAGTCATTTTCAGGGTGTAATTGCTGGTGTGAAAAAAAAATTATCTCTTCTTTGAATTTCTCAGTATATTTCCCTATAAACTTTCAGATAAATTTTTGTATAGAAATGATAGAAAAATTGACATGCTTTTACTGGATATGTGCTTTTCGCAGAGATATTGTTCAACAGTCTTTTATTCTACCCAAGGCAGATACACATCCCTATACCAGCTCTTCACTGGCTTGTCCCTTATATCACACTCAACCTATTTTAATCTCTTTCAATTGGTGTAAATAGAAGGATACCCTTTATTTCTTGAAGATACATTTAGATGGGTCTCATCCTAGCTCTTTCCTGTGAAAAGTAAAGCAATTAAAATTGTGTCAGAGACCTACACATGGGCTCTCTCACTGCAGATATATAACCCCAGAAAAGCAACCATTTTTTTTAAGTGCCTGAAAGTTTACTCAGTTTGAGATCGAATTTACGATTTGCCCTTTTGCTAGTGCTTCATAGCCAACTGCAGTACTTGCCATCCTACTGGTATTTGCTCTTCCTCTCCTCATCACCTCAATAAGCAATGGAGCTGATCTTCAAGCTGACCTCTGTGAGGCAGTGAGGATTCACCTCCTGCTGTAGCTGTGTTTAGGATACAGGAAAAAGAGGAGCAAAAGCTTTATACTAATCAGCAGCAATGACTTGAAGAA